AACCCTCAACAGTCTGTAGAATCCCCTCACTGATTACACTGTAAGTGATAATCCACCTTAACCAAAATCAAAGTAGACTATCACTCACCCACACCAGATGGAAAACTCTACAGACTGTCGTATATATTATATATATCGTCACAAACAGAACTGCCCGGTAAACCGTAGGCATATATATCGTCAAATAGAACTGCCCGGTAAACCGTAGGCAGAGAGGGAGAAGAGGACAACAAAATATATGAAACGGTATTCACCAGTTCGCAGTAGCTGATGCAGATCCCAGGGCTCGATCCCTAGTCCCCACCTTATAATGCAATCAGACTTGCTTCCATTCACACTCTCATGCATGCAAACAGGTGAGCAAACTGACGACAAGCGCCCACTCAGAACTCAGAGATATGGTAACCGAGAACACAGTTCAGATTCAAGTTCACTTCGATGGCTATGGTGCCTCAGCGCCCACACAACTCTCTGTTCGCATGCACAGGATCACCCTGAATATCCCACACGCGATACTCTGAACACATACACACACACACACACACACACACACACACACACACACACACACACACACACACACACACACACACACACACACACACACACACTGCACTCTGCTACAGCTATGGCGGCTATGGCCGCTACTACCCAATCGCTATGGCTGCACTACTCCTCTCTCGCCCACTTCGTCCTCGGGCTCACTGCAGACAACCTCGCACAAGTCGCTTGTGGCAGCGCTTCCGCATGGCTCACGTAGCAATGAACGAATGACTGGGCGCTGCCTCTTGATTTATACTTCTGCAGCTCGTTGATGTGGCCCCTTTCCCATGCCCGTAGTGCACACAGTCCCATGCGGTACTTGCTTGACTGGACCAGGACTGCCTAGGACTGGGACTGCTGACTCAGCACAGGTAGACTCCACCACTTGCCTCACCACTTGCCCACTTGCCTCAGCCTAAATGTGGGCAACTTCAAAGCCACTACTGGGACCTTCCGGAAGGCCGTAGACTTGGCCTTTCGATACTGTAGCAGCTTGGCCTTTCGATACTGTAGCAGCTACGACCTTGACCTTTCAAGAAAGCTACAGCTACGACTTCTAGACCTGACTGAGACTCCTACTCGACAGGTCTACAGATCGAACCCCTGCTACCTATGGACCCTACGAGAACCTACCAATTGTTACAAATACACAGGTCACGGGTTCAACTCTAGGGTCGACACAGATACTGTACACAGGTAAGGTGGGGACCAGGGATTGAGCCCTGGGATGTGCATCAGCTACTGCGAACTGCTGAATACCGTTTCATATATATATCGTCACAAACAGAACTGCCCGGTAAAACCGTAGGCAGAGAGAGAGAAGAGGACAACAAACGAGGGGCTGTGACAAACTGTTTCGT